AACCTTCCAGGCATAAGAATCGAAATAGGAAAGATATCCCGAGCATAGCTCTGGCCAGCATGCGACACCACACTGGTCTCAGAGAAACTGCAGAGATAGCAACAGCTGCCTGGATTGACGGTGGTTTGATAACACCTGATGATGTTCACCAGGTGATAGATCATAACAAAGTAAGGAGAGCTCAGGAGAAACTTGTCAGTAACCTAGAAGAGGGGTTTGATAAAGGGATAAGAGAAAATGGAATCAATTGTTTGTTCTTTGATGGGAGAAGGGATGACACTAAAGTGTTCATGAAAGTTGGAGATTCTGACAAGTTGTTCCCTGCCATGGTGAAGGAGGAACACTACTCCTGCTGCAGTGAACCAGGAGGGAAGTATTTGTGGCATTTCACTCCAGAGAAAGATGACATCGGGAAACCAGCTGAGATAGTGGCAGATAACATTGTGAACTGGCTCAGAGAGAGGAACGTAGACCAGACCCTGCAGGCCATTGGAGAGGACAGCACCAACACGAACACAGGGTGGCAAGGGGGGGTCATACAGTGGATAGAGCGGAAGATTGGGAGGAAGCTGGTCTGGATTGTTTGTGACCTCCACACCAACGAGTTGCCACTCAGACATCTGATCCAGGCATTGGATGGCAAGACTTTTCAAACAACAGATGGTCTGGTCCTCTGGCAAGATGCTGACTCTGCCACTGAGTTAGAAAATAAATCCGAGCTTTAAAAAATCACAGTTGGTCTCTCCACTCGTTGAGCTTGCACATACCGTCATTGACGACCTGAGCACTGACCAGTACTATGGTTACATGATTTGCAGTGCCATCAAAACTGGGGTCATGCCTGATAGACTTGCTTACCTGCAGATAGGTCCAGTCTCACATTCTAGGTGGCTCACAACGGCTCTCAGGTTCTGCAGAATTTGGGTCGCTCATCATAAACTGAAAGGAACCAGCTTCACAACCTGAGACTTATTGTCCAATTCATCGTGAGTGTCTACTTGCCAAATTGGTTCAACACCAAGGTCAAGTCATCGTTCTCCGAAGGTCCGAGGCATGTTCTCTTCCAGCTTGAGCTCCTGAGGAGTCAGCCAAGGAAGGTTGTTCAGATTGCGGAGCAGACTGTGAGGAGATCTTCCTGGTATGCTCATCCCGAGACAGTTCTGCAGACAATGCTCTGCAGTAAGGATGAGGAGGAGAGAAGAGTGGCAGTCAAAAAGATCTTGGATATGAAACTTATGAGAGGATCTGGGCATGACGAATCAGCTGGTGACGATTCCTTCAGGGTCAGGAAGACTCCTGAAGTCAATCTAGGTGCCAAGACCCTCACTGATCTCATAGATTTGGATAACATCCAGGCTGGCAGTGAGCCCCCTCTTACCTGCAGCCTCACCAATGTTCAAGTCAGAGCTTTCATGGACAACCCCATGCATGTCCCTGCCTGGCCCTCGCACACCAGAGCAGAGTATAGAGCGTTGTGTACAGCAAGTGAGCGAGGCCAGCAGTCACGTGTACAGCCAGGAGAGGAGGGAAGGCTACATCCGAGCTCAGGTGGTCAGCAGGGAGGTGATGAGTAGAAACAGAAGCAAGAAAGACATGTTCTCTATGGTGTGCAGCAACACCGGGTCGTAGTCGTAAAACCGGTTTTTGTATTTGATGATTTTGTTTTCTAAAGGAATATTAAATTTAATAAATATGTCAAGATCATTCGTTTCACTATTCTGGATCATTTCCATCCTAATAAATTAACCTGATACATTTACTTTACTTTAAATAAGCTATTTAGTGGTGTTGGTAAAAGGGTGGGAATACTGAATTTTCATAAGATTTCAAGTTAAAATTTACCTAGCAAAAAATAAAAACTTTTCAAATCTGAAGATATCACATGATTCTGCACATAGAACTACATCATTAATACCATGGGCCGATTTTTCAAACTAAAAAAAAAATTCGCCTCCGTATGACACACCCTAGTATAGTAATGTATTGAGATGGACAGTGTGTGTGTGTGTGTATGGAGAAAATTAGATCACAACTTTTGCTAAATGAGTACAGTAATGTGAAAGTACTGTACTGTACAGGTGTACCTGAATATTTGAAGTGTGTATGTGTAAGAAATGATATTGTTCAAAACATTTGATGTTCGTGTGTAAAAAATGCCCTTACCTCCCTGTGTAATGAAATAAACATCAGCTTTCATTACCAGTCTGGTGACATTTAAATGAAACATTACAGTTTTATGATCCAAATCTGTTTTTCACATGAAGGACATGTGTGTAGACTGAGATTTGAAGCTTTAATCAAAAGAAAGGTTCATCCAACACTTTACCAAGCAGTACATGCCATACATTTGAAATTAATAATACTAAAAGAGGTTCCATGTTAATATTTTCAGGTGTCAGCCAATGTAACACTTTCCTTGAAGCACACAAGGGTCCCGGAGTGCAGCACATTGCGCTACACTCTCAAACTATGACAGCCACTGTCAAATATATGAATGATAATGGAGTATTGTTTAGGAAACCTCCAGCAGTTTATTATCAAGAGGTGAGTTTTGCATTCGCTATACACTGCTGTTTAAAAATGATGATGTATCTGTATACTGTAGCAATATGATTATTTAAAAGTCTGCAGGCCTAGAAACTAAACAAATTGGGCTTTGAAATTTAGACATGGGAATCATCTTTACTCAACAGGGTATCAAACTGGAAGAAATTGAAGATACAGGCCATGGGGAGGAAATTGAGCTATTCCGAGAACTGGGAATATTATTGGATTTAGAAAAAGATGTCTTTGCAGAGAGTGATATGCCTGGTCAAAAGAGGTAAGCAGTACAGTACTAAATGAAGTGTCACAAAGGTAGATGAGGTGTGTTTCGAATGAAGTCATCAACATACTCTGAGACACAGCATCGAACTATGATTAGTTTAATACAGTAACTATACTAAAGATTGATTTCTTGAACTTTAAATATTTGAGTGCAGGGGTTGAAGTCAGTATACACCGAGCATATTGAAAAATAGGCCATTGTTCATATTTGGTTTAGACAGGTGATCGGTGAAAATGTATTGTAGTCAAATTAAACTACATATTGTAATTACAATTAAATATTTAAGTTTACTTTTTATTTTTAATAACTATTACAACTTTTTTGCAGATACCTCATGCAAGTGTTCACCAAGCCAATCTTTGAAGAAGACACATTTTTCTTGGAAATCATCCAACGTTGTGGTGCAACTGGCTTCGGTGCTGGAAATATTACAGCTCTTGCAAAATCCATTGTACTCTCTCAGCAACAAGTTGACAGCAGTAACCTTTAGACTTTTAATATTGAAGTATACACAATTGTTTTTTTCCAGTATTTATCAATAGACTGAGATCCATTTGCCACTGAGATATGTACTATAATTACAGTATTAACATATCTTACCAGATTTTTCAAACAAAATTCAGGACAGAAGTCCATTTTTAAATGCTGTCTTGTTCACATATACTGTTCTTGGTGATTGAAACTTGCCCATTGATTTCGGGTAACAGTATTTGAAAGCCTTGAAGACTATTTTCATTAAATTAAGGCAGATAGATTTCATGACCCTGGATAATGGATAAATTGGGCTTTGATAGGAACTGATGAAGATGCCAAAGTGGGAGTCAGCTAGTATTACAGACTTTCATATACCTGTACTTAATACAGTAGTTATAGTGCTATGTAGTAGCACACTGTCGTTATCAGTCTTAACACTTTAATTTATTGATTTTTGTGATCTATTCTGCCAAGAATTACAGAAAAGTTTAAACTCTTCTTAATAAAAGAAGAAATGTTGCAATCATTTGTCATTTTCTTAAAATCAATTTAGATATCCTGTACACAATATATTAAATAATTCACAACTGTAAAAAAATATATAAAAAAATAAAAATAAACTGATCCACTTTTTCATAAAGTACATACCATTATTTTATATGAAAATTGAAATGGGTTCAAGAGGTCTAACAATATGATAGGGACAGTGCAGATACAGCATACTAAATATGGGTACTTATATACTGCTGGTTCAACTAGAGGTGCAGGGCAGCACAAACCAGCAATCTGTAGAACAGGAGGTGAATGTTGTATACTACTGGATATAGTATCTATGGTTATAGGGGCGGAAAAGATCTTCCTGCTCGTTACCGCTGCTTACTCCCTCGTTTGCTGGTGCAGACGACACTTGGGGCGGTTGGACAGAGGTGAGAACGGCAGTGTCTATCTGGGTCACCGGCAGATTCAACCCAGCCGCCATACAGTCACTATCTAGCTACCCGGCTGTCCGTCAAATACTGGCTGTGATCTCATCATAGGTCCTGGACTCATGGGCTGTGTTCCCAGACCTTCACCTATCGACTGTCAATTCTCTGGTCATCTACCACTACCGCATACCACGACTGCCAGCTCATCTCATTCCGTCTGTGTCCCTGTGTTCTCCTGCCATTTCAAGACGTCGCTCGAGTGTGGAGTTGAACGGACGCTTCCCTACCCTGAGTGTGCATCACCGTGTTCCAGAACCTTCCCCCAGGGCCACTGCCGTAGGAAATATTTGTTCATTGTTTGATTCTATCAGTTGTTGACTCCCATTAATTGTTTGATTCTATTAATTGCTGACTCCCATTAATTGTTTGCTCCCTTTAATTGTTTGCTTCCATTAATTGTTTGACTCCATGAACTGTTGACTGCCTTAATTTTTATTTAATGTTTTTTGAGTGGTGTCGGAGTTTTGTTATATTATTGTAGTAAAGAGATGTCAATCTCAAACGGTTGTTTGTTATTCCTCGGAAAACTATGGTCCTTGACTTTCCTTTATTAAGATCCTGATTAGCCTGGTAAGGGATTTCTATCCCTAAGTCCCAGGTCCTTTACAATGGTATTTGGCTGCAGCACCTCTAATTACCATATCCTTAAAGACAAAAACAACCCAAGTGCTACATCAGAGGCTGCATGTTACATAGAATGCAATATGTACATAATTTTGATAGTCTTGCATGACAAGTTCCTATGGTCTGTTCATTTTGGATACAGTATATAAAATAATAGCTGTCCACGTCGTTTCATGTGGGTTTGTGATTGGCTACCATGATAATGACCACAGCATAGTTGGAGAACAATTAATTTACAGCAGCTTGCTATTATCATGTAGTCTTTTCCTTGTTTGACAGTATTGAAATGACACAAATACCGTACTCTTCACTTAACACAATATACATGCATCCCTAAACTTTAAACGTAAATGTAAAGTGAATAAAATTTCCCTTCTAAGAAATAAAAGAAATTGTGGAATGCATGTGTAAAGAAGAGTGGGAGAATACTGTACCAATTTAAAAGTTTACCATTTAATTGTTCGCAGAATACATCTACGCCATGTTAAAAAATTAAACATTGATCCTCTCCATACAAATGGGTTAGGTTCCTGAGAAAACCCCTTCGTTGATTGATTTTTCATATCGCGAATAAAAGAACATATGGGAAAAATAGGGGTCCGTGTCTCAATGGCAAGAAAACACCAAGATCATACACCAAAAACATGAAATCAGTTCACAAACAACAAAAAACCTACCTAACTAATGATAAATAGTACACAACAGTACTGTAATTTACTACCTAAAACATTAACAAAATACTGTATAACTTTTATACATTACCTTATGGGAGGGAAGTCAGGGCGACAAAAGAAGCTGCCAAACCAAGATATTTCCCGATCATTGTAGGACCATCACCATGTTCATGACGTTTTATAACTTCCAGCTTGGTCTCAAAAGTTTCGTATTTTCTTTGGTGTAGTACAAAGGTTCAGCAGAACGCTTGGATGTCATTACGAACGTAATAATGAAAGGTTGGCACAAATACACACAGGCAAAGAGAGATCACGTCACACACAATGAATGATGGAAGGAAAGATGCGGGCTTGTGAGGGCTGCTAATTAATTGCATTATGACGAAAACGTACTGTAGTGTGAAGTGTTTCCTAAATAGTTAATTGTTTTATGAGAAATTTGTGTTACCGGTAGTTACTGTACACTATCTACAGTATCATGCCAAATCATGTACTGTACTGTACCTGTTTAGGAAAAAAAAAGGTGCCTTTATCCTCTGTGATTAAATAAGATGAACAAAAGAATTGCTTTAAATTGCCAATTAGTAGTGCCTGATTTGGGAAAATTATGACACTAAACTCTTGAGGCCATGCTTAAGTTTCATACTTTTTCCTAAGCATTGAAATGCATTTCAAAATGTTTCATACATTTTATGCACACTGTACAGTGCACAGTTTACTGTATACACAGTATATGAAAAAAATGTTTTATTAGATTAATTTGTTTGGCACTGTATTAAGTACACTGTATTGACAGTGTCACATTTTTTTTAATACAGTAAAACCTCGATAAATCGAACCTCGATAAATCGGACCTCAATATATCGGAATTCGCTTTTTTCAGACCGAGATGCTCTGGTCACCAGAAAAAAAAATGAAGATTTAAAAAAAAAATTCATATGAAATGAACAGCACTTACTGAATACTGTACAGTGGTTTAATCAGATTTGCTATAGGCCTACTGAGAACTAAGACACTTGAGTATGAAAGCAAGCTGGGGCTGATCAGGTGTTGCTACATTTGTCAGGTTTATTTATTTATTGATTCAGTATTTTATTCCCCTATGATTGGTCTTATGGTTTATGGTTCATCAAGATTAATATAACATCTTCACTAAAAGAGACAAAATAAAATACTGTATGTAATTTGTAATATGACTTGGAAAATAAAACAATAAGCTGTATCAGAAGGTTATTTACTCAAGATGCATTTGTGAGAACTTTCAGTAGACCAGCTTACACCAGGGGTCACTATAACACACTGTGTATTTGATATGAAGATACCTTCTTAAAAATTTTATTCACTACCTTTGAGTGTTATATGCAGACTCAGTTTGGCTACTTGTAAATATACACAAATGATTAATGAATAAACCAGGGTATATGCAGGTACATAATATTTTACACTACAATATTACTTAAGTGGTGATAAATACACTGCAATATTATTTATTAAGTGATGATAATACACATCTGTACTGTACTAATTTACTAAGTGTTGAAGACAGACATTGTTGTAAGCCAATCAACTGTTTACTCTTTGTAAACAAATGAGTATGAAATGCTTCATGTTCAGTGTGGAATTCATTTTTCAGGAAAGCCGATTCTCTTCGGATAATATTTAATCGACCTGGCACCAAATGATCCTAAATTTTATGAGAATTGTGGCGGAATTGCATAAAGTGTTAAAGGAATCTTGTGGGAGAGAGGGGAGGGAGGCGCCCCTCTCCCAGCTGCTCCCAGATAAACATTCGTCTTCCACACACAATATACTCCTACACTTACTTGTTCTTATTTTTATCTTTATTGTACAGTATACAGTTTTCTTTTTATTCATAAGTCAAATTCTGTGGTTACTTACATATAATACTTTACAGTAAATGTCAATCATCTCGGTGACAACCAGACTTACGTCTGATTTTCAACAGAGAGAGTTCGGTTTCATTTCTTTTTAGTGTTGATGTAATATTCTTTTAATAACCTTGTTATACACTTAAAGACCTTAGTTGTTGAAATGCAGTACAGTACTGTAATAACATAACTGTGGATATGTGGATGCCCATCCCACTAGACGCCACAGCCTTAAGTTAAATAAGGTATCAGCGTGTCCCAATAGTGAAGGGTATATATATATATGAAGAAAATCGAGGTCCATGTAACCCAAACTGAGATCTACACAGGGGCAAGTATTTATACCCTTCACTATTGGGACACGCTGATACCTTATTTAACTTAAGGCTGTGGCGTCTAGTGGGATGGGCATCCACATATCCACATACTGCATGCACATTGTAGAGTGATGTCCTTGGAAGTGCTTATTAATATTCTGTAGTTTGAACCATGGAATTATGAACGACCTATTGCCTCATAATAAGTGTGAGAGCCCAAACACCGATTGCACTGCCCCAGGCGATTTGGTTTCTTCGGTTGTGTAACTTGGACAATTGGAAGCTGTGTTACTTAATATTCTAGGAAAAGTTCACTTAGTGTAATGTAACTATTTTCTTTCTTATTACCTCACTCTCGTTCTCTTCGTAAAACTTTGTTAAATGTGGATACTGTATGTATAATTACGCACATTACATATTTATTGATAAAGTACAAAAAATACAGAAGTGACATTAATACAGTGAAGTTCAAACGAACTTACTCTGGTTTTAACCAATCCCCTTTTTATTGTCTTGCCGCTTTCCTAGATTTTGGCCCCAGGGAGTGAGGCAGGTTGCCAGCCCTTGTGAGTGGGTGAGTACCAAATCTGCCAGAAATTATTACCCAATTCAGAGTTTTATTACCAAATTTCCTAAAAGAATAATATCTACCAAATAAAATGTTTCTATACACCCACTGTTAATGAGGAGATCACAAGTAGCCGTAAATAATGCTTCACCTGTAGATTCACTGACTGGTAACAGTCCCAAGAATACAGTTACCACTTGTCCAATGGTCTTGTAAAAAAATCTTTAACACACACACATTAAGTTTTTCTCACTAGATATGTCAGTTGACTCATCAACCAGCAGACAACAATTCTCAGCATTAATCACTTTCCTCATCAACTCTAGCGGTCTAGCCTTAACTTTTCATTTACACTTTATTATGTCGATTGTGGTCGATAGCCATGACTGAATACTGACAACTTACTGGAAATACCAGCTGTAGATCTGATTTCTTGAGAGAATCACTGATTAAGATATCAGATATGCTTATTACCAAATTTGGCCGTCTCCATTACCAGAATACCAAATCACTATTCCTCATTACCAAATTTATGCCAATTTGGGAATGAAAAATAACAGTTGGCAACTTTGAGTGAGTGATCCGCCTCACAATAACGTCAAAGGTCTTCCCACCCTCCTCAAGTTCCTGGAACCTTCATAACACTGTTCTTTTGGTTATATTCTTTTCCTACTTTTCCTCTGCAGCGCCTGTCTCCTATCTTGACTTTTGTTGTTATTATTGTTATTGTGGTGTTATAGTTATCGTTTAGTGGTATATTATTGTTTTTTATTCCCTCTCCGCGAAGTGTGGGGCAGTGTTTGTTATGATGACACTACAGACTACTATTACCATTATACGATTTTTGTGTTGTCGACGCTTTTTAGAATTTATTCTGATTTATTGTTGTGTTTTTGTTACCCGGATTGATCCTCTGTTAAGGGTACGTAGCCGGTTCTTTTATACCGAGTCACGAGTATCCAGTTATAACAATATTTGTGTCATAAAATTTCCCCCAGCTCAAGTTGCAGGAATTGAAGACGATTTTTTCGTTGTTAGATGTATTCTCTGATATGCCTGTATATGTAACACTTACTTTGTCCTTGTTGTTAACTTTGGTGTAAAATTTATTTGGGTTATGTTTTGTTAGTTGTTTAAAATCCTAGGTTGTCAATTTTGTTACCAGTAAGCCTTCTGTACTCTTACTGTGACCACCAAACTTGGACGTATTTTTGTTTATAAACTTTATAGGCCTACTGCCAAGGTTTCACAAAGTATTGAACATAGAAAATTGACCTCAGTGTAATATTTGACTCGTCGGTGAAATTTACGAGACTCAAAATACCGATTAAAATAGATCACTAACCTTTATTGGATAAATTTACGGGAAAAGTTACATCTTAATTTGTTGATTTGTTATGCGAGGATAAGGAGGCGTTACCTGATAGGTGTTAATTACTTGTGCCCAGGTGTTATTTGTGAAGCTAAAACATACTGTACAATTTTAAATATAAATTCACGTGGTATATTAATTTCACTTGGTTAAGACTGGAACAAAAATACTCTATAACGTCCTTCTGTCACTCGGTAAATCTGGGAACAATACCAACAATTTGTACAGAGATGTTTAGTTAATTCTCCATCAGTGTGTGTGTGTGTGTGTGTGTGTGTGTGTGTGTGTGTTATGATTATTCATGACTTATGTCAGGTCAGGCAAACACACTATCGTGAGGACCTCACTCCCGCCCTCCTCCACACAACACACACACACGGGGTGAGGGAGGGAGGGAGGGAGAGAGGGAGAGTGGTGTGAGGGAAGAAGGGGAGGCGGTGTGAAGGAGAAAGGGAGGTGTGAGGGAGGAAGGGAGGGAGGGAGGGTCAAACGCTGTATATAAGCGGTGTGGAAGGCCCAGCAAGACAACCGTTGGTGCAGGTATCTCAGTCCAGCTACACCTGACCAGTCAATCCATAATCATGGTTTGTTACCTTAGTGTAATTCTCACCTCATTCTTTATTTACACTCAGCCGTTTTGTTGACTTATCTATATTACCCTGGAAGATACCCAATTATTTTCCAATATATTACACGACTTTATATATATATATATATATATATATATATATATATATATATATATATATATATATATATATATATATATATCATGAAATCCATCTTAAGATAAATCAGGGAAAATGGAAAACAACGGAGTACCTTAGCTTTCGTCTTTATTCAGATCTTCAGAGGCAACTGAAGATGTCTTGAATAAAGACGAAAGCTAAGGTACTCCGTTGTTTTCCATTTTCCCGTGTGATTTTATCAATATATATATATATATATATGTGTGTGTGTGTGTGTGTGTGCGTTTATTGATTTGTTTTCCTATGTAGTATTGTGAATATTTATTTCTTGTTAGTTATCTTTTCAAATAGTATTTATAATGTGATATAAATAGTTTGATGGTTCACTTACACATTATTTATTTGTCTTACGAGTCAGTTCGTTAGCTGCAGGGTGGGAACATAATATACCTCGATGTGTGTTTCACTAAACTCGCCTCATATCTGTGTGTTCGCCTTACAGAGTCTTCCAGTGATGGTCGTGGCCGCGTGTGTGGTGGTGGTGCTGGGAGGAGTCCCCCCACCAACCGATTCTTGTACAGCCTTCTGTCCCAACGAAAACCCGTACCCCGGCGCTCCTGATTACGTCTGCTGTGATCGTGAGTACATTCACTCTTAATACTTTACTTAAAAGTACACTTGTAGTTTCGGATACTCTATTTGCTTTTATGAGTAATTATGTTCTTTCGGTAACTTAATTAATGTCCAAAGTTTATCCAGAGTCCAATAAAAGATCGGTTTGTTGCTAACTGGAGTCTACTTTTGGTCTTATAGGAACAGACGCTAGAAAGTTTTATTAACCAGCAGTAACCCAGAATCGCCTAACTGACTACACTTTAATACACGACCTATACCTTGGGTGAGGAAGGTGACGGGGGTTATGGCTAAGATTGAGTGATGTTTTTTTCCCCAGCACATCCCGGTCGCTGCCCACCAGTCGACCCATATTGTGATCAGTACCCGAGTACAGGGGTATGTGTCTATCTGTCTGTCTGATGCTCAACCTAATCTCTAAATTACAAACTGTTTCCGTGCAACAATATTTTGATGACTGTTTATATTTGTAATTTTTATTGTTTATCTTGCTACCTTACTAAAAGCATTTGTTATTACAGGCATGTGTGAAGGACTACCCATGCGAGGATCACCAGAAGTGTTGTCCTAATGCCTGTGTCTCCTACAAGGTCTGCACGAACGCCATATACTAAACCACGAAGGACAGTGAACTGGCTAGAGGAAGACCGAGGATTAACGAAGACATAACCGTTTACTGACCACGAAACAAATGATATTCCTGATTCACTTTCCTTATATTGTTGACCTTATACATGTTATTTGTTTTTATGTTCATATTGTTCAGTTTATATTTGTTGATACATTTATACGTCATGATTATCTCTAAAATCATTCAGATTAATGAAATAAATTAATATTAAAATTAACAATGTATTGACTTTCCTGTTGTTTGAATGTGGATATTCTGTCATGTTAATCGATCGCTCAAGTTAGCACCATCAGCTCTGACAGTTGGCGACCACTCCCAGATTCTGTACATGTGTTTAGTTAACCCCTAATTTCACTCAATCATCGGGGTCTGTCTTTCCCTGACCCTCCTACTCTCATTTTCATCGATCAATATCTCTACCATCACCAGAGATACAACTCCAGTGTCTCATTTTCCCGATTTTGTAAACTTTTAAGGTTTCTTTCGTTGTTGTGGTAAAACTTAGTACGTTTTCGTTTATTATTGTCGGTGTAAACTAACTAACCTTGTCTGGTGTCTTCTCCCTGCTAACACTTGCAGTAGTCCTGAAGAAACACTGTTTTTCAGTATATTCCTTCACAAACAAAAGGAACCATAACTTTTCATCTTTTTCGAGATCCAAATTCACCAGTAAATCCTTGCTCAAATCTCATTTTAATTTCATTCAGACTTTGTCCATTACTAGGATAACCTACATATGTTACCCATGTGTAAACCTCGGTTTGGGTTACACAGTTCTTGATTTTTCTTAATAAAATATCGTATTAGATTCCTGATATGGTATTCATTATCCTGGCGTGTTTCTCTTTCATTCCAATTACTCGACTCCATGTGACACTACATTTGGCACCTGAAGGCATCTAACAGTTTCTTGAGGCGGGAGGCTTATCAGTGAAGTTAAGACATAAGTCTAATGAGACATTCAGGTTATGATTCAGCTAGGGCGGGTGAACGTAAAGCAAGTGAGGGTACAGGTGACCATGAATGTGGTAGACATGGCAGTTGGTCTTTTTGTAGCGTCGTGTTTTTGTAACAGACATGACTGGTCGTGTTATGCCAGCTTAAGGTGACCCCAGCCTAGCCACTGACGCAACACGGTAAGACCTGAGTGTGATTTAACACCTATTGACGTACTGTACGTAACAGCGTTTTGAACTCTATTGTCCAGTGACAAGTAATTTTAAGTAAATACTGAATTAATTTTCGAGATAACAATTTATATTTTATGTGGTTAAATATCCTTGATATTATTTAGCATAAAATTAATCGCAATTATGTTTTGTTCCGATGTATTTTATAATTCAGAAAGGACCGTAGATGGCGGGAAATAGGTAGAAAAATATATTCTGTAAAATTGTCATGATCGTTTATAATAATTCCCAAATAATCTTATAGTACATATATTAGAAGATACCTTTTCATTATTCTATCAAGAAGACGTCATATTAATTTCACTTCATCATCCCAAAAATTTCAAAATTATTCTGTCATTTTAGCTCGGCAGAAATCGCCATGACTGGACATTCTTCATTAATATTTACTTCTAATTCATGACAGAAATAATCAATACATATAAAACATTTAATAATTTTTGTCTTTATGTCTGAGAAGATAAATTCGGCAATATTTAATAGTTAAAAAAGTGATCTGACGCATCTCGAGTTTCATATTACAACAGATCATAGAGAACATATGAATGAGTCGCAGTGGCATACTCTCCGCCAATCAAAACTAAGATACAGAGGATCTTTGATAGAATTGGTCAAATATACCAGAGTCATACGTAAATAAGGAGCGTCAGTAAGGTACTCTCTCCTGCTGTCTAGTAAGAAGTGTTGCCGGTTGACTGTGTTGGATGTAAGTCAATAATGGTCAATTTAAGTTACATTTAACCCGTTATTCTGCCGCAGATACAGGTAATGGATCATCAGCTAACTACATGAAGCTTATTTATGGTATATTTAGCGTCCCAAGTGAGTTAAAAGAGTTAGGAGACGAACATGACGTTTAGCTTGTCACTGTTGCTGGCGTAAGTTCTATACATCTTTTTGTGTTGATGTAGTTAAGTTTAGTAGTTACTGCACTGATTGATGACCTTAACTACAGTCTACGGGGTTACGTTTAGTAGTTACTGCACTGATTGATGACCTTAACTACAGTCTACGGGGTTAAGTTTAGTAGTTACTGCACTGATTGATGACCTTAACTACAGTCTACGGGGTTAAGTTTAGTAGTTACTGCACTGATTGATGACCTTAACTACAGTCTACGGGGTTAAGTTTAGTAGTTACTGCACTGATTGATGACCTTAACTACAGTCTACGGGGTTAAGTTTAGTAGTTACTGCACTGATTGATGACCTTAACTACAGTCTACGGGGTTAAGTTTAGTAGTTACTGCACTGATTGATGACCTTAACTACAGTCTACGGGGTTAAGTTTAGTAGTTACTGCACTGATTGATGACCTTAACTACAGTCTACGGGGTTACGTTTAGTAGTTACTGCACTGATTGATGACCTTAACTACAGTCTACGGGGTTATGTTTAGTATTTACTGCACTGATTGATGACCTTAACTACAGTCTACGGGGTTACGTTTAGTAGTTACTGCACTGATTGATGACCTTAACTACAGTCTACGGGGTTATGTTTAGTAGTTACTGCACTGATTGATGACCTTAACTACAGTCTACGGGGTTATGTATTTCCTGTATTACTGTGATATACAACAAGTCTGTATTTCTGAACGTATTTAATAGACACCATATGTATATTGTTATTGAAGTCTTAATGTTGTATAAACTGTTAATGGTACCTAACCTAACCTAACCTAAGTCACTCGATGATTAAACTCTCAAACACTATCTCTTAGGTTAGGTTAGGTTAGTACTGTATTAGGTTAGGTTAGTACTGTATTAGGTTAGGTTAGTACTGTATTAGGTTAGGTTAGTATTGTATTAGGTTAGGTTAGTATTGTATTAGGTTAGGTTAGTATTGTATTAGGTTAGGTTAGTACTGTATTAGGTTAGGTTAGTATTGTATTAGGTTAGGTTAGTACTGTATTAGGTTAGGTTAGTACTGTATTAGGTAAGGTTAGTACTGTATTAGGTTAGGTTAGTACTGTATTAGGTTAGGTTAGTATTGTATTAGGTATAGTTAGTACTGTATTAGGTATAGTTAGTACTGTATTAGGTTAGGTTAGTACTGTATTAGGTTAGGTTAGTACTGTATTAGGTTAGGTTAGTACTGTATTAGGTTAGGTTAGTACTGTATTAGGTTAGGTTTGTACTGTATTAGGTTAGGTTTGTACTGTATTAGGTTAGGTTAGTACTGTATTAGGTTAGGTTTGTACTGTATTAGGTTAGGTTAGTCTCATGGTTGATATGTGTTGTGGCTAATCTTCCGGTGAACCAAATATAATGTAACAATTGTGTTTTTTTTCTTCAGATTACTGCTGCCCACCACCATGCCTGAACCAAAACCATTCGAACGCCTTCCAGAGAATGTGAAACCCACCCACTACAAAATAACCCTCCAGCCAAACCTTGTAAAATGTGTGTTTCATGGCTCTCAAGAAGTTGATATTGAGGTACGCAGTCTTATGCTTGTTCGTTAGTACAGTACAATACTTATTTTTTATATACGTGTCATTATTTTTATATTTATAGTTCAGTACATAACTCTTCAAGGTATTTGTTTTACAAGATGGATAATTTGTGTAAATATTTCTGGTCGATGTTATGTGTATATATATATATTTTTATTAACATTTTACTTTCTTAAATATTTTACTGACCTTTCATGACCTCTTGCTCAAATTAGAAATGTCTTACGGGTCTCCTTCAGTAAATTAACCTCTCCCTGTACTTCCAGGTTAAGGAGGCAACTAAACAGATCAAGTTCAATACCTTGGACCTGACCTTAAGAGACATCAAGGTTAAATTGTCGTCTGGTGAGGATCTCGTTCCAGCCTCCACGGAGATTTCTACCACAAATGAGATGGTCACGCTAACCTTCGAGGAAACTCTGCCCATCGGATCGGCCAAATTAAGTGTGGCCTTTGATGGGGAACTCAACGACAAGATGAAAGGCATGTACAGGAGCAGATACACATCGTAAGTATTTTAATGTGGGGCAACAGGACTGATGTTATTGGTGTCCATGATACTTCAATAATGAGTTTCTTTGGATTTTAGGGTTTTTGTTAGTATAAATTGATGTGTATGTATATATTATTTACTGCTATGGAAAACAAATCTCTCAACAGATACAGTTGTGTAGTGTGAAGGCTGCATACAGTGAAGGGCTAATAATAATGATGATTGTAATAGTAATGTTTATTCTGTTAAATTGTCATACAAGTTTACAGTTGGTTTTGCATGTATATAGACAGTCAGGTATACAGTTCAACATGTATATAGACTGTTCAGGTATACAGTTCAGCATGTATATAGACTGTTCAGGTATACAGTTCAGCATGTATATAGACAGTCAGGTATACAGTTCAGCATGTATATAGACAGTCAGGTATACAGTTCAACATGTATATAGACTGTTCAGGTATACAGTTCAGCATGTATATAGACTGTTCAGGTATACAGTTCAGCATGTATATAGACTGTTCAGGTATACAGTTCAACATGTATATAGACTGTTCAGGTATACAGTTCAGCATGTATATAGACTGTTCAGGTATACAGTTCAGCATGTATATAGACAGTCAGGTATACAGTTCAGCATGTATATAGACTGTTCAGGTATACAGTTCAGCATGTATATAGTCAGTCAGGTATACAGTTCAGCATGTATATAGACAGTCAGGTATACAGTTCAGTATGTATATAGACAGTCAGGTATACAGTTCAGCATGTATATAGACAGTCAGGTATACAGTTCAGCATGTATATAGACAGTCAGGTATACAGTTCAGCATGTATATAGACAGTCAGGTATACAGTTCAGCATGTATATAGACTGTTCAGGTATACAGTTCAGCATGTATATAGACAGTCAGGTATACAGTTCAACATGTATATAGACAGTCAGGTATACAGTTCAGCATGTATATAGACAGTCAGGTATACAGTTCAGCATGTATATAGACAGTCAGGTATACAGTTCAGCATGTATATAGACAGTCAGGTATACAGTTCAGCATGTATATGGACAAGTCTTTGGGGTTAAATATTCAGACCTAAGGCCAAGCTACCACAACCAATATACTCTTCAATTTTGCTTAATCGAGTTGTGTATATAATGTTTCTCTCCCGTGGTTCTTGTAGACACGGTTAAAATAATTCAGTAGACCAAGAAACCATAAATATTGACAAATGACCCAGACAATGAGTTCTTATTCACTAAACTAAATACAATAACAGCTAGATAGTACACCATAGCTAGTATTTGCTTGCTTAGAAATATTATATCATGCTTACAGAATATTCATCAATTCCACTTAACATTTTTGGAGAGTTTGGAAGAATGTACGGTAGATGAACGCTGACTGATGACTGACGTTGGTTATTTCTTGCCTGGCCTGTTGCCCACTAATGCCTCGTGTCTGCTGTAGGTTACATACAGTACAGGCTCATTGAAAAGGAATGTCTAGATTTTAAATGGATATGCAGTATAATGAAATCTGGATATTTAAATGGATATATATTAAATTTGGGTATTTAAAGAAATATGTATCCTAAAATCTGGGTTTTTAAAGGGACATGTATCTTAAAATCTGGGTTTTTAAAGGGACGTGTATCTTAAAATCTGGGCGTTCTGTTTTGATGACCCAACATTTCTTCCATTGTACAGAGATTTAAAGTGGTTCTCATGTTCTGGCTTCTTAGTGACACAATTATTTTCTTTGACCATTGATTTTACTTCATAACAAGGAATTAATCCTCATTTTGTTAATTCATAAATAATAATACTGCAGTACAGGTACCCCTCGCCACATGAACGTTCTATTCTTACACCTGTTTCTCACTGTACAGAAGCTATGGTCCCTTTAGGTAATGTACCAAATTTATGTTTAAAATTTTTTTGGATCACCTGAAGAATCATCGCCCCAGCTTATTTCACCGAACGATTAAACCACCCTAATCTAACTTAACCTAGCCTAAACCTATTCTATCCTAACCTAAATCTAACCTAACATATCCTAACCTAACCTCATCCTCCCAAAATAATTTTAGGATGGTTTAATCGATAGGTGAAATAAGCTGGGGCGATGATTCTTCAGGTAATCCAAATTTTTTAATGTGCTACTTGTTAAATTACAGTAATTAGGTACTAAATTATGGTAGTTAGGTACTAAATTATGGTACAGTAGTTAGGTATGTTTGTTGTTTATGAACCTATGTGCTGTAGTTTTTTCTAGGTATAATATTAAGAGTTTCTTGTCATTGGGAACAAGATTTAATTTTTTCCATATGTTATATTATTTGATATACGAATATTCACTTAACAGGTTATTTTCAAGAATCCTAACCCATTCAAATATAGTGAGGAATACAAAGATTTCCATTTGCTGTTCTGTGATTCAGTTGTTTCTCATTGTTCTGTTTTGAGACACATTCACTCACAGATGTCTGGAACACCTCACCTGCACCATTCACTCTCCATTGGCCCCTCTCTCCTTTCTCTGTTTATTTTGATCACTTTACTTTAGTTCTTATTCATTTACTGTCATGTTTCTACACACACTTTCTTTTATAATTCTCTCATTAATTTGTCTTATTTAACATTTGTATTTGATACTTTTCTCTTAAAAATGCTTCATAATGGTATACAGTTGAGTCTGCATTTACGCGGTCAATTGAACCCGTGGAGGCCCGCGTAAAATGAGAAACACGTAAATGAAATAACAGAACATATGGGATTAATTGAAATAGAGACTGGGCCGACCCCCAAACTCCACTTTTTGCGACACAGTACGTACGTTGTAGTAAAAATATTATCTTAATTTTATTTTTATGATGGTACGCACACACACATAATAAAGAAGAAAAATATCAATAAGAGTATAATATACTGTACCAGGTAAAAGAAAAGTCAAGGTTTAACACTTACGTTAGGTTAGGTTAGGTTAGAAAAAATCAAGTTTTAACACTTAGGTTAGAAAAAGTCAAGGTTTAACACTTACGTTAGGTTAGGTTAGGTTAGAAAAAATTAAGGTTAGGTTAGGTTTAACACTTACGTTAGTAGAAGATGGGTCGGCATACATTGATGGGGGCTGGTTCCAAGGCAGAGGGCAGATTACTGGCCCTCAGGTGAATCACCATCACTATCCACCACAGTTGTCAGGGCCTCCTGACAAATCCCTCAAAGTCCATATCGTCACTGGCTTGGGCTGGCTGTGGTGGGTTGCGGGCGAAGAAGTCTGTGATGTTACGCTGACGGCTAGTGTTGATGTGGTCGTGATACATCTTGATGTACGGCTCCATAGTCTGCAACAGCTGGTTATTGAAGACTTCATAGCGGTGATCTTTAGGGTTGCTGGAAAGGACGAGCCTGAGTTTCTCTGCACATCCTTTACATTACCATGTGTTAATGTCCGTTGTTCTCGGGCTGCCTCACCACCTGCATCTTCACTGACGTCATCGTCTTTCAACATCTTTACGGCAGTCACCTCCGGATCCCTGATCACCTCCATAATGTCGTCGTTGGTGGTCTCGGAGAAGCCTGCAGCTGTAACACACTGTGCAGCTTCTCTTGCAAGGTCCACTGCAACAGACTGTACCTCACCAGTCACAGGTTGACTCTGCCTCCCACCTGGGATACCTTGCAACACATGCCGCCATGCGTGACGAATCGTTGCCACAGACAGCTGCCCCCATGCCTCCACCAAGAAATCAACAGCTTTTTTGACGTTGAATTTCTTCCAAAACTGTTTGACGTGAACTTCGTGATCCGCCAACTCTTGTTCCTCGTCGTTGCTATCTCTATCGGTGTCACCCAGGTTACGCAACTCATCCTTGGTGTTGGTACAGTCGTTCAGGAGTTTAAACTTCTTTGTAGAGAATGCAGCCTTAACGTTGCATATCAACTCCTGGTCCATGGGTTGGATTAACGACATAGTGTTGAGAGGAAGGAAAACCACTTTTACGTTGGGGTGACGATCCAACAGTAGGGGCGAGTGTCCTGGTGCGTTGTAAAGTAGCAACAAAATGTTGAATGGAACATTCTGTTGCTCGCAGAATTTCTTGACGTCGGGAAGGAAACAGTCATCAAACCAGGAGAGGGACAGAGCAGTGAACATCCACGCCTTACGTGCGGTTAGCCAGTGGACATTTAGCTTGGTCATGTCCATGTTCTTGTAGGCATATGGATCACCGATAACTTGAGCTTACAGGTACCGGAGGCATTGGTGGTAAACAGGACTGTGATGCGCTCCTTCTGCAACTTCCTGCCCCGACACTTGCTGGCAGACATGACAACGAAGGTCTTGGTAGGTAGCTTTTTCCAAAACAGACCAGATTCATCCATGTTGAACACCTGGTCGTCGGTGTACTGTCCTTCCTCCATAATGTCACGTAAGAATGGAGGAAAATCACTGGCCACAACACGGTCAGCACTCGCTCCTTCACCAGCAATGTTAATGTTGGTGATCTTGTTCCTCTTCTTAAACCCCTGTAGCCACCCAGAGGAAGCAGTGAAGGCTTTGGGCTCTGCAATTCCCATCTTACGTGCCACTGCTACGTACAGTTCACGTGCGTAGTTCTGAACTGAGTGCGTGTCCACCGCCATGTTCCGTCTTGCCTGACGAATCAAGTAGCTCACCAGCAAATTCTCAGTCTTGAGCAGCACCTTGTTCTGGCAGTACTTCACCATTGAAGCACCTGCAGACTTTGTGATGCTCATTTGTTCTTTTATCTTGGCGGCATCCTTCTTGATCATCCGGATTGTAGACTAGTTAACGCCATGCTGGCGCGCCAGATCAACTTGCCTCGTACCTTTTTCCAACTCCTGCACGATCTTGTACTTAACTTCGCAACTTAGGACACGTTGTATCTTCTTTGGCTTGGAGCGGCTGGGTCCAGGTAATGCAAGGTTTTTCTGTGGTGGTGGTGGGGGTCCAGCGGAAGCTATTCTTACGAGATTAGCGGGAACAATAGAA